TAGTAGTAGTAGTAGTAGTATAGTAGTAATAGTAGTAGTAGCAGTAGTATCATTAGTTATTAGGAGTAGAAGTAGCATTATTTTTGTTATCACTGTCATCGGAATTGTTTTTATTATTATCGTTATTATCAATACTGCTACTACTACAACAGCAAATGATAATAATACTGCTACTCCTATGATTATCAGTAGTAATTATACCATGACCCCTGGCAACGTTTTCATAGTTTCATTTCTTTTATATCTATCATATCTCCCGTAGTCCATAGTCGCGTTATGACGGCTTACCTGAATCCGATCCTGGCCGCTATTTCTCATGTATTTCTTCATTTTCTTTGCGATTTTGTGCGCTCGTTTCTTCATGGAAATGTCCTCCTCCGTGTAGAACCAAGGATACAGTATGAAGCCGCCGTAGCTATGAACGCTGATGTGGAGGGCCAGCTTGTCGAACCAGGCGAGGGCCAGGTCGCGGAGTGCCTGCGCCTCGGGCTCCGAAAAACTCCGGTTGCCGCGGTAGGTCGGGTCGCAGGGGTCACCGCTGGAGCCAGAGGGGTCGCCCCAACCCGCGCTCCAGTTGCGGTTCAGGTCGACGCCCGGACACGCGGGGTTCGAGGTCTGGCGGCGGTTCTTGCGCCAGAGGACGTTCCTGGTGAAGGAGTACTCGTAGCCGTCGGGGTTGACGACGGGCGCCACCACCACCGTCGCGCTCCTGAAGAAGGTCTCCCCGGCGAGGGCGAGCTTTTTCACGAGGAAGGTGGCCACGGCGGGGGAGATCCACTCGTTGCCGTGGATGCCTGTGTGCACGATTTTTTAAATTTTTATTATTTTTATTATTTATTTATTTATTTATTTTTTATTTGTGTTATGTTGTGTGTGTTGTGTGTGTGTGTGTCTGCGTGAAGGGGATTACATAGAAGAAAAAAACAGAATCTCCAAAATGTATAAACGTAAACCCCACAATTACACATCCTATATACAAAAAAAATATATATATATACAATGACACCCCCCCTCCCCCCCAATAAAAAAGGCCACTAACCCGCCTCAATCAAGACCACCGGCCTCCCAGTCCTCGAGCTGCCGTTTTTACGTCGATTTTTCAATTCCTCGAAAAGCGGATCTCGACCTTGCTGAGCCCTGAGCCGACGCACTTTGGCAACTCTACGTAAGTGTTCCTTTTTGAGTGACAGCGATCTGGTGAAAAAAAGATTATTATTGTAATTGCAAGTTTTATATTAACGAATCTATTTTATTGTATTTTCTTTAGGGTGGAAAATATGCCTTTATTCATGCGATAGTAATGCTATATACAGAGAGGGTTATACTTATATAAGCAAGATTTTTTTTTTTTTAATTTTACCCTCAAAAAATAAATCTGTTTATAATATTTCCCTTTCAGTGCAACTATCCAAAAAAAAAAAAATAAATCGCTGAAACAAATAGATTCACCTGCATCAAACAAACAAACAAACTTTTTGCCAAAGAAAATAGCCAGCAGAGGTCGACCTTCGAGGCTCCTCCCGTACTCGACGCTCTGAGCCGTGCTGGTGTGGAGGCTGACGTGGTGAAGAAACCTCTGGATGGAGTCGAAGCGGTAATAGTCGTCCCAGGCGAGGGTTTCTGGGGAGGGAGATAATGATAATAAGGATATTGCTAATGATAATGATAATAGTAATAATGATAATGATAATGATAATAATAATAATAATGATAATGATAATGATAATGATAATGATAATGATAAATAATAATAATAATTATAATAAATAATAATAATAATAATAATAAATAAAAAAATAAATAATAATAATGATAATAATAATAATAGTAAATAATAATAGATTGTCAATAATTACAGTGATGATGTAATCATAACACTAATGATGATAATTATAATATCATTGATAATGATGATGATAATAACAATAACAATAATATAATAATAATAATAATAATTGTAATAACAAACAATAATAATAATAATACATAATAATGATGAAATCATAATAATAGTGTAACAATAATGATAATAAATATTGATATAATAATAACAATATAAATGATAATAAATAATAATGATAAATAATAATATAATAATATAATAATAATAATAACAATAACAAATAATAATATCATTAATAATAATAATAATAACAATAATGATAAAAACAATAATAATATTGATGATAATAATAATAGTAATAATAACAATAACGATAATAATAATGGCAATAATAATATTGATAATATTAATCATATAGGTAATAATGATGATAACAATGATAATATACATAGCAATGATAATAACAACAAATCGATAATAAAAAATATTTTATGTAAAGGGTGATAATGAGGAAAATAATGAGTGTGTAATAATTATAATGGCAATAGTAACAACAATAAAAAATAACAGACAATAATAAAATTACCCGATCCATCCAGCCGTTGTTCGGGATAAAACCGAACGTCATCTATCTTCTCCCATGTTACGGATTCACCC